GCATTTTTATGCATCAATTGGTTTTTTTTTATAGACAGCAAAATTCCCTTAGTTACTTGTCTGTATTCATTTAGTAGAGATCGAGATTATACTGTGTTTCTGCTATGCTATTGTTGTGTGTGAGAATTCAAAAAAATTAATTAAATAATCTATTTTTCCTTAATATGAAATCGAGCAAATAAATCAGATCGATTTCAAATCACGATACGGAATGTGATGTCTAATTTAAAGTTTCGAAATTTAACTAAGTCGGCAGCTCGTTCAATGCATTCGCACTTATACATGGACGACTTTGAGCTTTTTCATTTTTCGAAATTCAATATGAGTCTCGTTTTAGTTTTGATTGCGAACAGACAAAGGGGCGAGCGTCTCCAGATTATTTCGTGCCTGATTCCGGAATCCGTTAAATCACACCTGCCGGGGGTTTACCGATAATCCGAGTAAACTGGGATCAATATCGATCATAATCATCTACATATTTATGGTGATCGATCCCTTATTTTCCTCAGTCCCAACTCCACGAATCTCGTAAGCGAGTTGTAAGATTACCCGGTCTCCATTTTTTAAATGGAGTTCTGTGCATAAAGACATAGTAATTAACAATCAAATGTATCCAACGCAATATTATAAGACGTCCTGTGGAATCATTGTATTGGATTATAAGGAGAGCAAGCCTATGAACGAATGGATGGATGATATGTCTGTGTAAACGAATATTCTGTAAGTGACAGATCATTATTTATTTATTGTTTCTTCTTTTCGACTTAACAGCAATTAAGATCACTGTTGTTTAGTTAAACTGTTGTTATTTTTTTAATTGATAACTTGATCCTGAGGACTGAAGAATTAGTGCAGATGTACTAAGCACTTTTCAGTTTAAGTATATATCCACTAAATAAAATTATTATTTTGTGACTACCGCGTCGAATCATTTTCTTTTGTAGTCATAAGTCAACTCTAATTCGCCCAAACCATAACTCTATTAACATCAGTGTTTTGGAAACGAGAAAAGGTGACAACAGCGCATCAGATGACGCGAAGAGGCTGGTATCCTTGAGTTCCTGCGTCCATGCAAATATTAGTTCAAGTATCGTTATAAGCATCGCTTTAGACTAAATTTTAGAGCAGAGCCCGGGAATCTAGGATAATCGGGCACACGCGGCTCCCGAAATTTGTTCGTGAGAGCTGACAGATGGCCTTCATCCCTTTAAGAAGGTACCTGCTCTTATTCAATTCTTCGTTTAGCCCTACATCGACCGATCCCGACAGACGGCGGCCGTACGATCGTACGGGAATTGTCAACTTTTCATCAATTTAAAATTTTTTATGCGAAATATTTTTATACAGCAATATGAAGACACAAATTTTTTCGATGCTTTCATGATGAGGGATCACCCTTAATGATTATTTTGCCTTCAGACGATATTTTGACAGCAATTCAATAGATAAAGTAGATCAATTGTTGAAAATTCTGAGGCGGGGCGATAACTTTACCGGGTAAAGTTTACCCAATAATTTGAAAAAAAAATCGTAGATAAATAGTCGTATAAGTAATAGTGGTAATAGTCGTTGTTGAAAAAATGAATATAACTCTGATAAGAATTTTGAAGGCTGACGGTGAAAACAAGGCTGGGAAAGCCTTAGCGGCTAAAACTTCACTGAGACTGACTGACTCCATCCAAAAAAATTGTATTGATGAACGCAAAAAATTTACATTTATCATATAATAAACATATCATATCAAACTTTCTACAATCGTTCGACAAACAAATCGAGTTAGGCCATCCAGAGTCTTATGGCTGTAATGAATCTTTTTGTTGGAATAATTTAAATCGTAATAAATAATTCCCGCTGCTCATTCGCCGAATGCTTCAGTTGTCCAGGGTTGATTTGATGAGGCTTACGCGATTCATTTTTAGTCAAATTCTTAATCTGAATTATCTGTATTAACTGTTTTCGCGGGTTTTATCTGTTTCGAGGTTTTTAACTATATTTTCTTTAATCGAGATTTTCCGGAATCCAGAGATAAACATTTCTACGACAGGATAAATTTCGGGAGTTGCGGGTTTTCCTTCCGACAATCAGAGTCTGTATGAACCGCCCAAAATGAGTTTCTCTCTCTGGATTTATCGAGATTTTTCCTATTGATCTGTTACTTATTTCATTTCAAATTTTAACTGACAACTTCATTATCTGTTTCTCTTTAATTAGAGGAAGGAGAATCCCTCAGAACTGGTCTATACGAAGTAGACACTATCGTCATCCCTGAGATTACTCCGACCCATCATGAACTTTATTAATATTCCATAAATTAACATTTTTCCACAAATTATTAATGAGCAAAATATTATTAATACTAACATTAAGCAAATTAGCAACAATCTAATTCTTTCCAAATTTTCCATTTAACTCTTTTAAACATTTCTGCTTATTTCTTCTAAACAATACAAATTAGCATTAATTTAGCTCTTCATAATCCTCTGTCCATTTTACGGGCCCTGACTGATTGTCGGAATTTTTCTACCCGCTTCTCCATTCGATATTCTCTGAATCAGAGTAGTAAGAATATTAATTGTTTTCCCACCCCAGAATTTTAACTAATTACGAGAGATCGGTTCCCTCCCTTCTTGACTATAACCAACAGGTTACTTACAATTCCGTGACACTACTACAACCAGCAGGTTACTTGCAATTCCGTGACACTACTACAACCAGCAGGTTACTTGCAATTGATTCTACTATAGCCAATGGCCACTTTCGAATGATTCTACTATAGCCAACAGGCTACTAACAAATGACTCTACTATAGCCAACAGGCTACTAACAAATGACTCTACTATAGCCAACAGGCTACTAGCAAATTTTAAATTCAAGGCGACTCCGAATGAGCGCTGCAATTTGATCGGATTTCAGAAAAGCGTACGGTATAGTACACTGCGAGGATACTCTCCTCTTTCTCCGATGATTTATCTGTTTAGCGAGCGTCCTTTCAATAACTTTGCTCTAGGGTTTCCCCTGCAGAAGGTTTTGGCCATCTAGCGGCACAATTCAAAGCTTCATTTCGTTTCACATTCACATTTCACTTTTCTTCTGATTCCTCCCAGTTATGATTACATCTGATTTATTTCAAATTCTTTTCTTTATCCATTTATTTATTACTCCGGTTCCTCACATGGCAGCCCTTGGGAAAAGAAGCTGCGTGGTCATGAATGACAGAATTGCATTGCTCTTTTTCAATTTTACTTATCTACCAGAATATCAGAAATATAGTTTTAAATTGTTCAAATACAGATTCAAAATCCAACACTTTCAGTTTCTGACATACTGGAATGAAATGTGATATTCGAGCAAATCTTGGGGGAATATGAACAATACTTTGAACAATCATCTTATGACGAAAATTGGTAAAAATCCGTTAATTTCCTGTGTTCATTAATAATGGAAGTACCGAAGGATAGAGCTGGCATTGCCCCTAACAAATAATAAGTTTCCCCGTCATTTTCGATGAATGACAATGCTCAATCAAAAAAGTGGTTGATATTATGCACTATCATATAATATATATGATTTTCTTGGAAATCTAAACGGTGCAATTGCACTAATGAAAATGAACTCAAACAATGTCGAATAGGAAAAACATTGCAATTAAAACTTCATACGTGCATGCCTTCACCAAATTTCTAGTTCCAGATTCTATCATTATATCGAAATTACAAGTTAGAAGGTACGATTCACCACAGATATAAAGAGAACATTTATTTCCTCATTTCACAAATGCAAAACTTGATTTTTCATCTTTAGATCTCATTTTCAAAATGAAAAATATAATATGAAAATCTGCAGTGGAATTTTCAGAAATATATTGCAACGTTGAGCGTGGCAAATTTTTATTTTTCACATTTAGAGTTGGAAAATTTGGAAGAAGAATAATAATTGCCTAGAACCATTTCTGAAATCTATTCGCCGATGTTTTTGATTGCGAATTTTTATTTTTTAATTTCCTATTTAAAATTTTAAACTGAAATTTACGCCAATTTTGGCGGATCAGCCATTTTTGTGTAACTTGCACGCCACTATGCGTGGCTTCCGGAAATATCGTCACCACTGGGACTTATTCACAGACAAAAGGTTGGCTAATTAGCTACCAATTGGGGTTTGGAGATTATCCTGACCCTGCCTTACTGGTCCCCTGTTTATGTACGTCCTTTTTTATCAAACCAGTTTAAAAAATCAATGAAAAAATAACACTCGATTTGGAAACAGTATTCCGAATTTAAAATTTGAAAAATGTTGTCATCATGACTTATGAATTACGTTATGTTATGTCATCTCATGATTAACAGGTAAGGATATGAGGAGTCTAAAACGAAAAAACGATGTGGTCGAAAACAAATGAAATCAGCTACTGAGCGCAAATTTGGCGCATCATTCCAAGCGTAGATGGTGAAGGATCGTGATATGAAATGTGATATGAAATAGACATTAAGCTCGGGAAATTCAAAACCCTCGGCAAGGATTACATTCTCGATTATTTAACTTCAAGAAATCGTCCGTAACAAATGTGTTCCATTTCTGAACAAGATTACAAGTATTGAATGGATAGATAATGATTGGAATATTTAATATGAATATCAATGCAACATTACAAAAAAGAGACTGAAAAAATGAAAACAAAATAGATGCACACAGATTCGCACTTTATTCCGGCAGGGCTGAACAATGGTTTTCAAATCACAAAGCTTTGTAATTTTTAAGGAAAAAACGAAAACCCAGGTAGGAATCGACGATGAGGACAGGGCTAGCTAATAGTATATTATGCAACACGTGCGTAATATATTTTTTGACTCGTGGGGGGTTTGTAACACGAGCCGAAGGCGAGTTTTACAATCCCACGAGTCGAAAAATATATTACGCACGCGTTTCATACAAAATTTTATGTCATCGCGCCCGGAATCCGCGATTTAACCGAGCGAAGCGAAGCGTAATTATATGCATGTCGATCCAGATGATTATATCCTTTTTTCAGACGCTCCTTTTCTGCCCTTTACTCCCGCCAAATATTCACTTGTAATCTATTGACAAGAATCACCAGGAAATCGTGTAGATAATACTTTTTCCATGCACTTGTAAGAGATGGTCTTGTTGAAAGCCCGCTTTCCTTCACCCTTGGTCACTCGACATACCCCACTGCAGTGCAGTTGCACATCCGGATGCATAACAGCTGCAATAATAATATGGATAGATTTTTTGAAACCTGTGACTTTCAATGTTAACCCATGAAATATGATCAGGAGTGCGTCCTGCTTTTTCGGTGCTGCCTTTTTCCGTTCATCGCCTTGGTGTAGCAAAGGATCGAGAAAATTTTCGAACGCAATAAATTCTTCCAGTACTTCGAAAGGGAGACCCGTCAAGAATGGTCTCGGGCAATGGTGTACTTTGTCCAGGGCTTTGATTCTCAGATACCATCGAAATCTTCGAATCTTTAAGTTGATTTTTTACATCATTGGAAGAGCTTCTTCTAATACAGTCGATACCATGCAAAATATTCTCGTGTAAAATTTCCATCTTGAAATGTATATGATCGGTCAGAAATCTGCGATCAGGAGTATTAATTCTCTCCTGGAGTTCTTCAAAACGAGGGTCAGCACCCTTAATCTTTACTCTCGATTTTCGTAGGAAACTTCGAGGCTTATTGAGGATGAGTTCTGGATTTTCTATTCTTCCAGGTCGTGCATTTTCTTTTCCCCCAGAAAGACAGCAATGACCAGAATTCAAGGTTGCATCCTTGACTTGGGGACTATTATTCAAGAACGACCTGTCAGACCTTGAACTATCAGTAGTTCCACGTTTCTGTCGACTGGATAATTCACGATCTTTCTTATTAGTCTCTAAAAAATGGATAATAAACGTCAAATTTCAACAACTGCTCAGTAATGAAAAAAACTATAAAAATATAATAAACGCACGTGAATGGTTAACTTGATCATGTCGTTTCGAATGTGGAAGTTGTTCTTGATCATTCTCACTTCCAGAAGAGCCAGAACTTCTGGGACGCTTCCGCTTCCGATTTTCTTCTGAAGGATCACTGTCGTTCTCTTCGTCGTCTCTATCATGCTCATTGTTTTCCATAATAGGAGAATATTTGGAATTTTTGAATACCATTTTTGCTCGTTTCCTGGACATAGCATGAACGCTACTTGTTTCCTCCACCTCGGATTCTTCAGATACGAGATTCTGTTGTTGTACATATGATATTTCAAGTCATCGTAGTCCACACTCGAAATTTTCTAAGTTTTTTCAGCAAGAAAAAAAAATCCACTAAGTCACTTAGCAAATTTTTACATGAAAGATCGTGTAATAAGTTCAAAATTCTCACCTGCCCACGCAAGAACAACCAAGTCGGTGTGTTCCCCCCAATCTTTCTGAGGCTTCTTGCCTTCCCTGGCCCATTCCTGTAATCTTTGCCAATCTTTTTTTCGGCGGATAACGACATACCCATTTTCCATCATGTAAATACATCCATTGCGTGGCGAGTAACGCCACTGACTTTTTTCGTCTGCACTGTTCAAATAAAAATTCTACAACTACGTGAGAATAACCGTCCATCGTCTCTACTCTAACATCGGGACTTTGATGAGTTTATCTACAGGATAGAAATTGAGTGAGAAAGACAAACGAATGGAACTGAACCTTTACATTGCACATTTAATGACACTACGTTTTTTTCTATTGGAATATTGAAAATCGATTGCGATCATTGTGAGGCCGCGAGAGTACGAGGAGAATTTGTTGTCTACTTGCATAAGATTAATATATACTTTTCACCATCCCAGAACGATCGACATTAGACTTCCAGAGTGATAACTATTCATATGAAGGAATGCCTTGATCGCTATTGGTTTTTTATCCACGACAATACAACTTACTTTAGAATAACCTCAAACTGTAATGCTTGGACTGGCGATTAATGTATACGGTAACTTTGAACATCAAAATACACTGATTTCCATCTAATTAGTCGTAATTCACAGGAGCAAAAATTTTCGGCTCACAAACAGTTACGTGCGTGTACGAAGACCAGTCGCCATTTCGGGCGTCCGTGGATCGCCGGTCAGCATGTATGCTCGCAGCGCTCTCTCGTTTAAGATAGTGCAACTCTATACTGGCGACATAAATATACCAGTATAAAATAAATGATACTCAATGGATTATTGTAGTAAAAAATATGAAATTTCAATTGGATGATTTTTAAAAATTTACTTTGTTTATACTTTGTAGCATTATTATTAGCTGATTGAAGGAAAGTGAAACGTTAATTTACATCTGCAAAAGAGATAGTATAATATTTGCCCAAAAGTTCCACAAATACACATTTGCACTTGATTTGATTGGCAGTGAATGACACAATTCATTCAGAGAACCTTGCAATCTTCAGTATTCCTACATGAAATGATGGACAACAATGAATAAACAAATTTGATTGTCCCGTATCTTGATGCTCCTCAATGTAAATATCCTCAGGCTTTCTCACTTCTCCTCTACATTCTTGCTTAATAAATATTCTTTTGATGTAAATAATAGATCCACTAGCTAATTGTACACCATTATCAGGAGGCTGGCCTTAAAGGGTCACTTTCTTAAATTTGACTGAATTAAGAAGTAAATATTGAAACCTGTGAATCATAGAGTTCTTCTTCACAACTGAGTTACTAATATTTACATTTTTTTTTCCATTTTAATAATTACATCGGATTCCTCTTGAGCGTTGATCCTGTTTATGATCTGAGGTACTGGCTTCGTGTGGCTGGAAATGAAAGCTTGACAATTTCCGATATAATTTTCTCCCCAAAATGCTGAGTAATCAATGAAGAGAGCTCGAAAATATTTTGTGTCATCCGCCAAGTGAATAATAATATGCATTTGTAGCACTTGACTAGCATTTCCATAACATGTTGGAAGTAATTATATGAATGTTCTTAAATAAGCATCAGTCTCACCAGCACATGCCACAGCTAATTTCGAACTACACAAAAATCGAAAACCGCAGTGTAAGTGCAAAAAATGAAGGTATTCGTCCTCTGGTAGAACCGGCTCAAAGACAATCGGTCCAATATAAAGGAGCATGAAGGAGCATTGCGTGGCTTTCCAACGGCCATGTCGTTCTCCGTAAAATTCGTTTCTCTGAAATTCGATTAGAACACATGGTGTTATATTCCGCAGTAATGACTTTAACAAGCGAAATTTCCTCATTGAGACTCTATATCGGCTGTTCCTACCAAACCACTTTGACATTAACGTCTTGATAATGTTCAAAAATAAATGCATTGGGTGTGTTCCGCCAGGGAACAGTACAAGTCCAGTAATAGTGATTTCTAGTGCATTTTAGATTTGGTAACTAGAGGTTGGTACTGTTACTGGAGTTGTGTTTCACACGGCTAGTAACAGTTACAAGTGATGTCACTAACTAATAAACAGTGTTCAACGCTGAAGTTTTCCGTTAAG